ACCCCGCTCCCCCCCAGGTGACGCGCCACACCTTCACCTCGGCCCTACAGGAGCGCGGCTCAGTGGTGCTCTGCCCCGGCGGCCAGGCGGAGATGTGCCACACCCACCGCATGTACGCCGGCGCGGGCGGCGCGGGGCCCAAGGGGGCGCGGCCAGAGCTGGTGGTTCATGCGCGCCACAAGGGCTTCTGCAGGGTGGGTTGTGGGTGGGGGGGCTGCTGCAGGGGGAATCTGGAGCGCGTCATTGCTTGATTGCAGGTGGCCTGTCTGACCTGCTTGGGGGTCGTTTGGCCAAAGGAGGCTGGGCAAGAGGAGCCTTGGGGTCAGCAGATCAGGGGCAGTAGACAGCCTGAGGCGGCAATGATATGGTTGCACGGCGTCGGCGGCTCCCCTCGCCCGCCGGCTGGTTGAGCGCCTCTGCTCACGCGACAAACGCCGTCGCGGCCCCGGCAGATGTCAGCCCCTACCCCCGCCTCTCTAGCCAGCCCTGCGACCTCCAGACTCTCATACCTCACTCTCCAACACCTGATCATGACCCTCGCCCTCCACATCGCCTCGTTGTCAACTCCAAACGCCATGACGGGTCGCGTCACGAATCCAACATCCATGACTATTGCTTTTACCACCCATCCTCAGATCGCCATCGAGCATGGGGCGTCCCTGGTGCCTGTTCTGGCGCTGGGGGAGGCCCTGCAGCTGCGCAACCTCATACACATGCCCACACTGCAGGTGCGATGGGGCGGACACGTAGAGTGCCAGGACGGGGGGAGGGGCGTCCTTCGGCGCTCTACATCGCGTGCGTGAATGCCTGCGCATTATCACCCCCCGGGCGGCGTGCACTGCCATTGCCTTCATCAGTCATCTTCACGCCGTTTGACCGGTCCCATCACCTTGGTTTCTGGCCTGAGAGTGCAGCTCACACCAATCACGACCGACCTCTGACACCTCGCCTCCACCACCTGCGCTCTCACAGGCGTACACCACCCGCCGCTTCCGCTTCCCATTCCCCTTCTGGCTCGGCGGCCGCTGGGGCGCCAGCCCGCTGCCCAGCAGGGTGCCCCTGGTTTACGTCATCGGCCGCCCCATCCCCGCGCCCCCGATGAGGCCGTTGCCTGGCGGCGGCGGGCAGGGTGAGCGCCGCCGGGGGCCGCGGGGCGCGCTCCGCTCGCGCCTGTGCTGTGTTGAGAGGTCGCCGCTCGGCTTCGCGCCGCTTAGCAAGCAGACACGCGGGTGGCTGCACGCACACGGCCGCGCGCCCGCGGCCGCCTGCGCACGGGCCCGCACACGCACAGGCAAGCAACCATGCTTGTCTTCTTCCCGCTCAACCGAATTCACAACCCACATATTCATACTCAACAACACACCCGCGACCAAACCACCGTCCCTTTCTCCTCAAAACAACCGCCGCAGCCTGCGCCGACCCCGCTGACGTGGACGGCCTCCACTCCGCCTACTTTGCTGAGCTGGCGGACCTCTTCCGCCGCTACCAGCACCTCCACCCCCACTTCAAGGGCGCCGACCTCGTGCTGTCCTACGACTGAAACATGCTCTGATGATCTGTGCCTCGGGATCATCAACGAGGCCATGCTCCCAACCTCGACGGGGCTCTGGCGAGCCGGATTATGGGCGCCTCTCCAAAGCTAGGTCACAAGATGGCGGGATCTGTCGGCCAAGCCGAGGGCTTGCACGATCGTCTGGCTGGGGTCGCAACGCGGCACGCGCGCCCCGGTCGTCGGCCGCGGCCGGCGCGATCCGCATGCGGGGTGTGGGGTCGGCGAGAGGACTGGGGGATCGTGAGGCCGACGATTCGAGCCGGCGAGCACCACAAGCTTGCGCAGCAGCGGCCCCGCGGCGCCATCCTTGCGGGTGCAGCCGCAGGACCCTCCCGCTTGCGTTGCAGCGAGCGCACATTTGTGGCGCCGCAGCAGCGCGGATTTCATAACCGTGAATAACCGCAGTATTGACGCCGCGCCGCGAGATTGCGCGCGCGATGGTGGTTGGTAGGATGTCATCCTGTGGGTGATTGTGCGGGTCGACGGGTGTCCTCGCCCCAGGGACGTGGCCCGAAATGAAGCTGTGGATCCAGATTCCCGCGGCTGCGGCGCTTGCGGCAAACCAGACTGCCTGCTTTGGTACTGCAGCGGCACAAACAAATCCGTCAACCTTCTCATGTGTATTGGGGCGCAGCTCCGCCGCTGCCCACCAGGCCAAACGTGTCGCCTCCGCCGCAAGCATGCCATTCCTCCTGCGCAAGCGCATGCGTGCACAGGCGCCCCTGCCCCCACAAAGAGCAGTGAGATGCATTGCCCCTGCCCCCGCTGGCCGCAGCAGGGGGTTGAGGCACTGCGTTCGCGAACCCCTTGCAAACGGCGGTGTCTCTGGTGTTGGGCGCCTGTCGCCTGGCTCTTGCCTCGACTCTTGCATGGGCTTTGGGAGCCAGGCGCTCACATTCTGCCCTCCCCTTGCCCACGCACCCTGCATGCGTCACCTCTTCCCTCTCGCTTGCTCCTTGATGCGTGCCTGCGAACGTGTCGCGGGCCCTGCCGCGCACGGCACGCACTTTGCTGAATGCCTTGGCCCTTGATACCGCATACACCAATACCCGGTTGCGTTGTGGGCCTGCACACCCCGCCTCGCCGTTTCCCAGCCCTCGCTGCCCAGCCGCAGCGCAGCATTGGGCCCCATCCCTCCTGCCCAGCCGCCCGCCGCTGCGACGCACGAGCGCCGTCTGCCCGTCCACAACCTGCCGCAAGGCTGTGGTGTGCCTGATCCTATCTATGTATTTCCACTCACTGACATGACAAGACGACAGCAGCATCGATTTTGCGTGCGTGCGCTGCGAGGAACACCGCAACGCAGGCGGCCCAAGCGCCTTGTTTCCGTTCATCAGGCACAAGCACACGTGCGCGGCTTTGAGGGAAGTCCCCTGCAGAGCACAGAGGGCGCTGTGGCATCCCAACCACATCATCAGAGGGAATGTTGCTGTGGCACCTGCACAAGCACGGCGCGTTGTGGCGTCTGGCTGCTGATACATCTGGGTCTTCACAAGCGGCGCACGGCAGAGGCGCAGCCTGGACCCGCACTGGTGGCGTGTGGCATAGCACACAGGTGTCGAGGTATTTCAACTTGCCATAGGGTGACATGTGATTGTTGCGCGTCACCTTTTTTGCGTGCCTGCGGGGTCCGCGGCCAGCAGCTTGGTCAACCCGGTTTTCCAGGCTCTGTCAGCAGGCCCGGCCGCTGTGCATGGCCCTGCTAGCACACACAAGCCAGCTTTCACTTCATTGACATCGGCTTGCTTGCAAATGGGATGGACTTATGAGTTTATTGCTGAAAGCACGCCGCTTCTCTGTAATGCGACGTCGTCATGCGGACACCTGACACACCTGCTGATGTTATCGTGCAAAGAAATCTGCCGACAGTTGAGCGGGCTGTGGCGACCTGCTCAGGCAGATGGAGTGTTCTCCAGGCCCATGATCTGCAATCACGTTTCGTCGAGCTGCTCTCCTGTGGGACCGAGGTGGCAGCGCCAAGCACATGCGTGCACGGTTGGATTCACGAGTTGAGGTGATGTTGGGAGTGCCTGTACCTCGTCGGCCTCCGGTTGTCGCGCAAATACCACGCAGTAATCAGGCACAGATTTGCCGCAGGCTGCCACGACCTTTGCCCACATGAGCCCTCGGGGCTGCCTTTGCCTGTGGAGCTGCTGCATGTGGTGCTGCTGGCCGCGATCCCGAGAAGGCAGTTTCCAGCAGGGCCAAGGGGAGTCAACTTGAATGAGACAGGTCAAGGAGGTTGGGGAAAATAGGGAAAGGGAGGGAGGGGGCAACAGCGGGAGGAGGGAATCACCATCACGGCACTGTAGATGTCATTGATCTGCCTTCGAGGCAATGGGTGGACCGTCTCGTGCAGATACACTAGTGTATGGGGCCAGGGCAGGCCTGCAGGGGGGCAGTGTGCGGTGAGGGCGATGTGTGGCCAGTCACATCAGTGGCTACATGACAAGGGTGCAACTAGGTCAAGTTGTGTGCAGGTAGCACTGGTGCACGCTTCAAGCTCGCAGGCGCACTGGCGGAAGCTCAGCGCGCCCAGCCCTCCGCCCGGCGGCGCCGTTGGCCGCTTGCCGTGGGCTGCTGATTATGACTGTTGCGGTGAATGGCACCGTTGATCTCGACGCCATTCGAGCCTGCTTCGACCTTTGAAGCTCTTCTTACGACCGTCTCTGGGCAGCCAGAGGTACTGCGGCACCACCATCATGGTGAAGTGTCATCAGCGCTTGACTCATCAACGGCACAGTGTCAGCAATGTCAGCAACCCCTTCAGTTGATGACAAGGGGGCGATCACGCGTGTTCACAATCCCACTAAATAACATGTATCAATCGTTGCTGTTGCTGACAAGTCCGTTCCATAGCTCTGCTTGAAGTGCGCTCATCAGCTCAGTCGGGCTCTGATCACGCAAGATCGTGGGGGCACCAAGGAGTAGCACATATCACACAGTATATACCAGCTTACAGATCTCACATTCACGCCTGAAGCTGAGCCTCGGATGCTGAGCTTGACACAGTGGAGGGCCTTGCGCGTGCTGCTCGTGCTGTGCCTCGGCTCGGCAAACCCGGCCGCACATGTGCCTCAGCAGCATGGTGGGCGGTGGTGCTGGAGTGGGACTACCCTCCACGCGCTTTGCGGTGGCCACGCCGCCACGACCCTTCTGCGTGGCGCCAGCCGCGGCGTGCATGCCCGTGAGCTTCGACTCCAAGCACTACAGTCCACGCTTGCGCCTGACTGGCTTCGCCACCACATGCTGCGACCATGCTGCGCCTGACATACCGCACTTATGAGCGGCTTTTGCTGAACCAAAACGGATGCCATCGCATGGCACAGGAGAGGCTGGCTCCAAGGGACCGCCTTGGCCGCACGCATGGCGCACTGCCGCAGCGCGGCGCCAACGCTGAAAGCCACCAGCTGCCTTTGCTGACAACAGGTGCGCCCATGGGCAGAGATCGCAGCTGTGCCCTAAGGAACCGTTTGTGCAGGCAGCGTGGCATTGCCCTGGGGACGGCCGAGCCGCCCGTGTTTGCAAGAACACGGGCGGCATGTGCTGTGTTGTTGCTAGCACGCACCCCACACCCTGCACCACATGCCACCGCTGCACATGCAACGGTCTGACAGGCACCTTCGCATGGGCCACTTGACCTTCAATAATGCTAGTCCCTCGTATGGCATGCGCAGGCTTGTGAGTGGGCGCCTGTTGTGGCGCCACGCAGCATGCGCCGGCAGCTCCTCGCTGCAACCTGGCACTGGACATGCGGCTCGGCGGCGTTGCGGCTGGCAAAGCGTTGCAGGAGCAGGCGTGGCAGCTGCAAGCAAGGGCGGCGCGGTGCGATAGATTGCTGAGGTGGAGCGAGCGGCGCATGGTGGGCCCACAGGTGAGCTGCGCAGTGGTCGCGGCGATGTGGGCCAGCAACGTGGTCGTCGTCACAGTGAGCATGTGCATGTGGCTGCAGGCTCTGCGGTATACCGCCACACTGCGGCACTCGGATATGCTGTCCCTGCCACGCGTGACAGCAGATACACTCAAGGTGAAGCAGCCATGCGGCGGTTGCGGCAGCGCCCGCCTGCCTGCCTGTGCATTTCGGTGCACCTCATACGCGCCGGCCCGCCCGCACCTTTGAATGTGTGCAATCCCTATTGCATACGTGCTATTGCTTTTACCAAGCACGAGCAGCTGACCGCAACCAAGCAACATCGTCTTCCAAGCACTCCCGTTTTCGTCTTGGTCGTGTCCCAGGATCTGCTACCCAAGGTTGACTAGATGATGTTGGAGTGGATAAGGCCCCGCTGGGGGCCCCACAGGACCGACGCCCAGCTCGTCAAGGTCCGTGCCGGGTCACTATAATGGCACTGCAGCTCGTATGCAGTAGAAAAATGGCTGAAAGATGTTTCTTCGTTTGCGCTGGATCGTTCGGGCAGCCGTGGACCAGGTCGCAGCTGCCCTGACCAAGCTCTCAGAACCCATTCCGCTGCCTCACCGCCTGCAAAACGACTTTACAGAGCCTGGTGGCGCTTCTGGTGGCGGTGGTGGGCTGCGGGACGCTGCTGCCCGCAGCCACGGTGCAGACGGCGCTCGCGGCGGTGCTCGCCGCCGACCGCCTGGCGTCGTCGGGAGCCGTGGAGGCCTCCCTGCTGATCGCGCTGGTGGAGTTTATCATGTCTGTAGTCGCCGCGCAGCGAGCGGAGCACTCCTCACACAGCAAAGACTCGACAAAGGTGAGGTTGCCCTCCGCACAAGGGGAACTGCTCATGGCAAGGGTGCGCAGCGGGCGCCGTGTCTGCGGGCGCGGCGGTGCAGCTATGGGAGCCGCAGCAGTGCTCTTTGCACGCGCAGGATACGCCAGCCCAGCAAGACATTGCTGCTGCATTCCGTCCCAACACGCGATCGCCCCGCAGCCATGACCGGCGTGCTGCTGCTGATTGACGCTTGTACACACGCTGCCGCCCTGTGTGAGACTACCCGGAATGTCCGCTCTCCCAGCCGGACCCTCACTCCTGGCATCAAACCCCTTGACATAGATTCTTGCCACACACCCACCATTGCTTGCAGGCCGGCGCCGCCGCCGACTCGAGTCCCGAGGCTGCCAAGCGCGGCTGTGTTCGGAAGATCAAGAGAATCCTGCTGGGCGCCGCCTTCAACGGCGAGGGCGTGCGGCCCACCCTGACCACCGCCCTGCTGGAGGCCAGGGAGCAGGTGAACAGTCGCGCACTCGCACCTGCTCTGTACGTAGAGTTGTGGGTCTGCCCAGCCATAAACCCAGCCTCATGCCGCCGACCAGACGGCTGGCGCGGTGCCAAGCATGGGCAGGCTTGCGAGGGCGATCGCGACGGCGAGGTTCACGTGTCTCCCCTTTTCACACCACCCTCCAGCCTGACTCTCTGGTGCCCCTGCCCATCTATCTCACCTCAGGTCGAGAAGCATGGTACCACGCCCACACAGCTTCTGGCGAAGTTTGAGGTGTGCTTGGTGTTGCGCTGCCCGCCTTGTTGAGGGGGCACACAGGCCAAGGAAAAGCCACTGTTAAGCAACGCGTCTTGTCCATCGCTTTCAGAGCCAATCAAGCCGAAGCATCATAGCTTGACACCACTGCTGCGTCTGCTGATGCGGCACCTCCCCCATCAGATATCCCCCAACACGCACACACAGACACACACACAGACACATAGACACACAGACACACACACAGACACACAGACACACAGACACACAGACACACAGAACACACACACACACACACGCACGCACGCACGCACGCACACGCGCATGCATGCATGCACACGCGCGCACGCACGCACGCACATATCATCCACAATTGAGACCCTGCGTGCACACCCTCAAACGCTCATTGTCACCCAAGGGTGCTGTCATCCGGAGCGTCCAGTGCATCAAGGCCCGCTCCCTGCTGCGCCTCACCGGTGATGTCGGCACCATGGTCCAGGGGGAGTGCGACGCCCTGCGCAGCGCCCTGGTGTTCAACAACCGCCGCCTGCAAGGAAGGGGCCGCGCCCTGGACAACGCCAAGCTGCCGCACGTGCTCAAGCAGCTGTCGGCCTCCCACCGCGCGACGTGCCGCAAGGCGGAGGGGTGCCAGGCCGCGCTGCGCGCCGCCTTGGAGCGGCTGGAGGGGCAGGTGGGCAGGCGTGGGGGCTGCACCATTGGGAGGCCCAGGGATGGCTTCTTGCGAGTGCGCCTTGATGGGTGACTGTTATCAGCCGCTTGGAAAAACGGGGAAATGCCAGCAGGCTTTTGCGCGCTTGGTGATTTGCTTCTTGTCTCTTGTCGCCACAGGGGGTCAGTTACCTTCTCCAAAATCCAGCTCTCATCTCCAGCCGTGTCGGTCCCCAATGTATCCCCAACACTCCTGCCCCCAACCCCCGTCCTTGTCAACCGCAGGGCCTCAGCCTGGAGGACAACACCCCCCTCACGGCCGCGTCCGACCTCATCGCCAACCTGCGGAGCGGCGGCTGCTTCGAGGGCTGCCTGGCTGAGCTGTCCAACGAGGGGATCACGGACGGGTGAGGCGCCACCCCCGCATGCGCAGCTTTGGTGACGCGGCTGTGGGTGACATTGAGGATGGCTGGCTGGTTTGCCGGCCAACTCTCTCGCATGCTTGCGCTCGGCAGTCTCCACATGCCTGACGTCTCAACATATCACCTGCTGTGTGGCCCGCGCTGATCGCACACCTGGCTCGCTGCTGTTTGGCCCTTGGTACCGCAGGTCGCTGGTGTTTGCGGTGAGGGGCGCGCAGCGCAAGCTGCACACGCTCGTGGACAACCACCCCTCTTCGCTGGTGGGTGGGCCGGCACGGCATGTGTTGCCGCTTTGGCGTTGCACGATCGAACTTGGCTATGGGGTTTTTGTGCCTGAGCCTGTGAGCTGGGCTAATACAGGGTCCATCATCACAGATGGATTGCAATAAAGGTTCTGACTGCAACCTATCTCAAGACACGGGTTGGTCAACAACTGCTGGTTTGTTCTCATCACTGGGCACGGCATCTCTCCACCCTTTGGGCCCTGCCCGACCTAGGACAGGCGCCTATTTCAAACCCCTCCTTCATGAAATCCTCCGGAGTTCAAACTCTGCACCCTAAATTCTGTACCCCAACTCCCGAATTGCTCACTTACCATTCTCCAGGACTGCGCCCAGGCGGGCAGCTGGCTGTCGCACGTGCTGTCCCTGACAACACCCTGCAACGCCGACGAGCCGGCCTCCTCATCCGGGCCGGCGACCCCGTCGCGCGCAGCGGCGGCGGCGCCGCCGGGCTCGGGCGAGAGCGCCCCGGCGTGCGAGGCCCCGGCGAGCGAGGGCGGCGACGTGGGCGAGGGCGGCGACGCGTGGGAGCGTGCCGTGGGCGGCGGCGGCGGCGACTGCTTTGTTGATGAGGCCGCGATCTCGTCCTCTGCTGTTGACATGCAGCGCGGCGATCAGGCCGCCAGCAGCCCAGTCAGCGAGGCCGGCGAGGCCGAGGTGGCCATGGGGCCCGCGGCCGCAACTGCCGGCGGCGAGAAGGCAGCGAGCGCCACCGCTGATGCCTTCGGCGCTCCCGCCTGCGGCCTCGACGCCGCCTCGTACCTGCGCATTTCGGCGCGGCGCCGCGCGCGCGCGAGCACGTGCAGCAGCAGCGCTGAGGGCCCCGGGACGCCGGCGGCCGAGGACAAGGGTGCCGGCGGCGGCGGGGCGTGCGTGCTGCCAGACGCGTGGCCGTCGATGGAGGCGCTTGCCGCGACACAGCGGGCAGACCAGCAGGAGGAGCAGCAGCCGCAATATGAGCAGGAGGCGCTGCAGCAGCAGCCGCAGCTGCAGCAGGAGCACGAGCATGAGCAGCAGGAGGAGGAGCAGGAGCAAGAGCAGCAGCACGAGCCAGAGCAGCAACAGGAGAAGCAGTATCAAGAGCAGGGACAGCAAGAGGCGCAGCGAGGTGAGGGGCAGGTGCCTCCCATGTCGGCATCCGCACGGCGGCCGCGTGCACCGCGGCGCGCAGCCCCGCCGCCGGCCGCGGCGCAGGTGCCGGCGCTTGACGCGGCGCCGGTCTCGGCGCTGCCCCCCGTGCTGGCGGCTGTCGCCGCGCCCCGCACAGAGCAGCAGCGCCTCGCGCTCAGGGTGGCGGAGGCGCGCGCCGCCGCGGCCGAGTTTGCGCGGCTTCACCGCGCCGGCGACCGGGTCGGCGCGCGCCGCGCGCTGCGCAGGGCGCTTGCCGTGTGGCACGAAGTGGCCATGCCCAGCCTCGCGGACTTTCAGGTGGATGATGATGACGAGGCGCTCAGCGGCGCCGCGGCGCGGGACGCCTTCTACTCGCGCCTGCCCGTGGAGTGCGCCGCCCGCCTTATCGAGGCCGTCGCGCGCGGCGGCGGCGACGGCGCGGCCGTGGCCAGGTCGATCGCGCAGGGGCCGGCCGGCGGCCAGTTTGCCGCCGCCGGCCTCCTGGCGCTGGTCGCGCCGGTGCAGGCGGCCTTTGTCGACAATGGGCGCGAGGGCGAGGGCGAGGGCGAGACGGCAGCGGCGGCGGCGGCGGCGGCGGCGGCGGCGGCGGCGATGGTGGTTCACCTGCCGGTGCTGCATCTGCTGCAGGTGCTGCTTGCGCGCAAGCCGGTCAAAGGCAGGACCGACGCGGCGCGCAGGGAGCTGGATCGGGCGGCGCGACGGCTGCCGCGGGCGGTGATGACGATGGCGGGCCTGCGGCGCGACGGGGCGGCCGCTGTTGGCAGCGGCGGCTGCCCGCCGCCGGAGCCCGGGCTCTGGCGGGTCGCAGCGCTGCGGGGGGCGCTCGAATACGTGTCCACCACGCGCGGCGAGGGCGTGGCGTGGCTGCCGGCGGCGCGCAACGCCGCGCTGCTGCGGGCGGCTGAGGACGCCGGCGTGCCGCGCTGCGGGGACGCGCAGGCGCAGGAGGTGCTCGGCGCCGCGGAGGAGGGCGCGCTGCAGCTGCTCGCCGACGGCGGCGCTGACCTGGCGGCCTGCCTGCGCGGCGCGGGGGAGGTCATCTCCTTTGCGGCGGCGTTGGCGATGCGGATCAAGGTCCGCGGGAGGAGCAGCAAGGCCGCCGCGGCCGCAGCCGCGGCCGCAGCGGCCGCAGAGGAAGCTGCATGTGAGGTGGAGGCGCAGCGGCTGGGGGAGAAGGCTGTGGAGGACGAGCGGATAGGTTGGTTCAGGGACAGCTTGGACCGCCTGCTGGCCGCCCTGAAGGAGCGCTTCGGGGCCGAGTGGGGCGCGTCCTGCGCGGCGGAGGCGGCGGCGCGCGCCGAGGCGGCGCTCAAGGTGGCCGAGGCGGGGCGGCCGCGGCGCGGCGGCGCGCGGCGCAAGGGGGAGAAGGCGGCGGCGGCGGCGGCGGCGGCGGCTGCTGCGCCGGCGGCGGCGTGTGTAGTAGTGATTGAGGAGGTGCCGGATGACGAGACGCCGCCTGCGGCGGCGGCGGCGGCGAGTGTGCTGGTGATTGAGGAGGTGCCAGATGACGAGACGCGGCCTGCGGCGGCGGCGGCGCCGCTGCTGCAGCTGATGGCGCAGGGGCAGGTGGCAGACCCGCGGCCGGCGGCGCGCCAGCCGCTACCGCTGCTTGAGTGGGCCCCCATCGGCCGCGAGGCGGGCAGCGGCGCGGCGGGCCTCATCCATGAGGATGACGAGGCGCCGGCGAGCGGGAGCTCTGCGGTCGGCAGCAGCGCTGTGGGCGCCGCGCCCGCGCAGCCGCCCCACCTTCTTGTGAGCGAGGCCGCCGCGGCTGCGGGCGGGAGTGAGGATGGTGAGGCGGAGGCGCAGGCCGGCTCGTCGGCGGCCATGGCCAGCCACACCAACAGCAGCGGCGGCGGCGGGGGCAGCGGCGGCAGCGGCAGTGTGATGAGCGTCAGTGGCGCGGCCGAGGCCGTGGGCCTTGTCGTGGCGAGCGCCGAGGCCGGCGCTGCGCACTCGGAGGTGCGCCGCGGCGGCCCCAGCGACGACGTCGGTTCTCTCGCCGCCGCCGACGGCGCTGCGGCCACCGCCAGCACGGCAGGCTTGTTGCTGGGCTCGCAGGCGCGGACCGGGGGCTCGGCGGCGGCCCAGCATGACCCCGTGGCGGCGGGCGAGGAGCGCGATGGGCGGCGCCGCCGCGAGCGGCGGCTGATGCTCTGGGGCGCGGCGGCGCTGGCGGCGGGCGCGGCGGCGGTGCTGGGGGCGGCGGTGCGTTCCAAGCGCCGCTGATCGCCCCGAGCATGGCGGCGCCCGCCTGGCCCAACAGATGTGGGGTTGGACAGGAGATGGGCGAATCGTGCGGAGCGGGCGGCGGCGCGGCGGCAGCGCCTGATTGTGTGGGGTGCAACGGCGCTGGCGGGGGTCAAGGGAGCAGTGGCCACTCCCCTAGCTCGTCAGATGTGCCGGACGCACGGCTGGGTTCGTTGCTCAAGGATGAGGTTGGATTGGGTTGGGTTGGGTTGTGCACAAAGTTTGATTCTGCTCTGTACACACACTTGTGCGTGCCCACATGGTTGCTTCCTGGCCTTTTCCTGAGGTCAGGTGGCATCAGCATGCCGCCTTATTTGGGTCAAACGACAGATCCCGCAGGGTCCTGGGCCATCAAAACCCCAATCATTTGGGTCACTCACCCCTGCACGGTGCGGGTGAACCTAGCTCCGGCCCTCTGCCGATGACGGGCCCATTGGCCCATGCATGAAACCTCCCTGTTGGATTTCGATAATCAAAGTCGCCTGTGTTGTAACCCACTGGCCGATTGACTCTTGAGAGCGCGTGTGGGTACAGGTTCCTTAGGTGCCGTCGGTGGGTTGTCAGAGGAAAGAGCGGAACAATTAAAGAAAGGAAACAATCCCTTGGGGTTGTGGATGTTCCCATGCTGGCCAGCACAAGCCCAAGCAACGTCGCGATTACAGAAGCTGTCGTGGCGTTGTAGTCCTCAAGTGTGCAGCCGACTGCAAACCAACGACTGGCGGCCCCGGCCGAGGTTTGCTGGGCTTTTGGATTCTTGGACCTTTGACCGCGCCCCTGAATGCTGTCGGCGTCGATGTTGCATACAGCAGGGAGGTTGTGGACATGTGATTTGTCACATTTGATCAGCACATACCGTACAGGCAGCAACATAAGGCCTTGCAATTGCAGCTTTCGCGGGGAACAGCTGCCATAGCCTGCACACCCTGTTCGGCTGTGCGCCCCTCTAGAGCATTGCTTCAGGCCCACCCACGTAGTCCGGCTGCGCGTCAAATTGCAATGTTTACCTCTAAATACCTACAGCGTCCTCAGACCCCCTTGATTGATGACACACGGTGATATGCTTCACACCCGCCCGTCCATCGCTCCCTTTGGCGATGCTCCACGGTCTCATTTCATCACATGCATTACAGTAATCGAATGTAAAATTGAACAATCGTGCGTATAATTGGTCCCACCTTGCTAGCATCGATCACGCAGTCGCACCCCACGTCTCTGAACATAGCTTCCAGGATGCTGCGCGCCAATGGCAGCAGAAAATGCAGCTGCGGACACGCACACAATCACCGTGCAGCAATTGGCATCGGCAGCGGCAGCATCGCGACGCAAGCCGGCGCGGCGGCGTCAGTGGTGCAGCAGAGAGCGCAGCGGCGGGGAGGGGCGGCGGTGTTCGACCCCTTGAGGGCCCACCGCGCCCGGCGGGCGCGCGTTTACGCTGCGGCGGATGCAGACGCCCCACTGCCATCCAGGTTGGCACACGGGCAGACCGATTTAGGGCCCCATTGAGTCTGGGAATCTGCAGCAATTGGTAGACTCACAACATTATCAGCGCGCACCCCGGTGCATTGCTGGCCGCAGCAGCCGATTGCCCTAGACTTGGGGATGAGGGGAGGTGTGCTGAGGCGCCCGGCTGCCTTGCGCTGCACCAACCTGCATGCGCCTGGGTATGCACGCCGGCGAATGGCGCGTCGGCGGACCTGGCCCCTCCCAGCAGCGTCAGCAGCTGCCTCATCTCGCGCCCACCCCCATGTTGCGGCCCGCCGCACCAATTGTCCTCGCATCCGTCCACCCACGCACACCTCATGGGCCGCCCAACCGCAGCGACTCGTACGCGCTGCCCGAGAACTTCTGCATTATCGAGAGCCGCGATGCCGTCAAGGTGACGCTCCCCCGCGCCAGAGCCATGCAGCCACCCAACACAGCCCCCCCGCCCCCCAGCTTGGACGCCCGTGACTCGCCTTGGGCTGCAACATGCATGCAACGTCCAAGTGCGTGCTGCGGCCGGCGTCACTCCGCTGGCAGCGGCTTTGTCTGCTTGTTGAACTGCAGCCGCACCGGTGGCACACGCCCTTTTGCTGCCGTCGCTCCCCATTGAATCTCACCCCTTCTGATCAAGCGTCGCCGCCACCTCACCGTGATTCGACGGCCCCAGGACTTTGCCGGCATGCAGCTGGATGAGATCACGGACAACATCACGTCGCGCCGCAACAGGATCTTCTTGCTGATGGAGGAGGTGCGGCGGCTGCGCATCCAGCAGCGGCTCAAGGTGGGTGCGTGTGGGCGCGCGCGCGTGTGAGTGTGTGTGTGTGTGTGTGTGTGTGAGTGTGTGAGTGTGTGTGTGTGTGTGTGTGTGTGTGTGTGTGTGTGTGTTATGCCTGCCGCGCAGCCAGGCATCAATCTGGGCAGTGGGTGCCTCACAGAACTGCGACCCAGGCGACTGCGTCACCTCACAGCGCGCGCCAGCCCCTACCCACCGCCGAACCACACCCCGCCCCCGGACCCTCGCGCCCCCGATCACGCCCGCCCGCCCTCCCGGACATCAAACACAACGACCCGAAAAACAGGGCGGCGATGACGCGCCCACCGCGCCCTCCAACGGCGGCGCCCCCGAGTTGGAGGAGTCGTACCTCTCGGCCCTTCCCTTCCTGCCGCCGCTGACCAACGAGACGCTGAATACTTACTACACCTTTTACGCCGGCTTCGTCGCGAGCGTGATCGTGTTTGGGGCGCTGCTGGCGCCGCTGCTGGAGGTCAAGATCGGCCTCGGGGGTGGGTATTTGAATTTTGGATTTTGAGTCTGGGTCGGATTTCAAGCTCGTGGCGGTTACTTTGGGCATCAATGAGGTGCCAAGCTGGGGAACTCGGCGGCACATATCCGGGGCCGCTGAAAGTTTGGGTGGGAGGAGGGGCTTGGGCTCGTCGGGCCGTATGCTGGCAGGGCAGCCTCCCCGGCTGCCGTGGCGCAACAGGCCGGCTTGGGCAGAGATTGAGGATGCCGCTGCTGTGTGCCGACCCTGGACTGCCCCTCTCTTCCCGCCGCCTCGGACTGGACTGGACTGGCCGCAGGCACCTCCTACCTGGACTTTGTCCAGTCCGTGCACCTGCCTGAGCAGCTGGCGCGCGTGGACCCGATAGTGGCGTCCTTCTGCGGCGGCGCGGTGGGGGTGGTGAGCGCGCTGCTGGTGGTGGAGCTGAACAATGTGGAGCGGCAGCAGCGCAACAGGTGTGTGTGTGTGTGTGTGTGTGTGTGTGTGTATGTG